AAAGGGCAAAAGTGGTTAAACTATAATATGAAAGTATAGTGTACCAATCCGTTCCATAATGTTTGAGTTCAAACAGGAAAACTTCAAAGTTTCCAAAAACAAATTACATGTAAAATTCACACTGATGACGTAACAGTATTCAAGTACCAGACGTTTTCAAAATGTCACGCAAACTGAGAAAAACGCTCTCGTGCGAATTTAGTGATTCACCTCCAACACAAAGTCATGCAAATCACGAGTTACATCTACTTGTTCTACACATCCTTCAGTTAAAATTGTAGTTGTCATCCTCATTATTATCAAGATCATCATCATCATCGACGTCGTCAACATCAGCAACGAGGTGCTTCCTTCACTCGCCGCGAGCAAATGTGACTTCGTTATACCCTTGCTGAAACCTCTCTACAACGGTCAATTAATTCTGCCTCCTGTGTGATCTTTGCAGAGATGTTCTACTCTAGCCTAGAGTTATTTACAGTCCTATCTAGTTCCCTACATTTCTCATTTCTTTTTGATATTCTCTCAACTCTTGGACATCAGGCCGTTTGCGCACCTGGGAGAAAGATAAAATAAATACAAGGAACAATTCACCCAATGTGATAATTAAGGAAATAAAGAAGTTAAGACCATCTACGTAAAATTTGACAGGTGTCTTAAACCGTAACAGAAATTTAGAAAACCCAAGATGTCGGCAAGCAGGGCAGGGCCTTTCTTAGACGCGTTGAAAAATAACTGCAGACTTTATGCTTTTTTCTTATTTAAAGCAACACTTGCTTCTCAAAAATAAAGGAAGAAATACATGTCCTGTATTATAGCAACAATATTCTGTAAAATAGAGAAGGAACCCTTCGCGTTTTCATAGCAGAAGGTTTTCTCATACTAGAAGTATAACAAATACCAGATATCCTCTGTAGAAAGACTGAATGATGATAGCAGCTTCTTCATCGCTGAGCAACAGTGATAATGGCAGTGGAGGGCGAGGACTAAAGAGAAGATAGAGTGTATTTTATTCACAAGAATCAAACTTTGTGTATTTTGACGCAGACCCAGTGAATTAATATCTGCTCCAGGCTCACTCAGTACATTTACAGTAATTCTAGCCATGTTTGACCCCCGAAGTAAGATGGCATCAGAAACTGTGAAAAGGTCTGTTCACTAGTACAAGATAATTTGATGTTACTATTCTACATGTACATGCTTGTCTCCAAGCACTTTAATTAAGAAGGCTGTTCTAGCACACCAATGTGTAAAAAGTAGTACCAGGCATGAGGCCAGCACGTGAGACCATGCAACCCAGACATTTAGACTTGAAGGCCCAATATGAAACCTC